CCCCAAAACCCCAAAACCCCAAAACCCCAAAACCCCAAAACCCCGGGTTAATTAAAAATTTTTGATGAAGAATTGTTCTACTAGAGTTTTAAATTGTGGTTTTTGAGTTATTGAGTCATTTGATCAGGTAGATGCTAGTTTAAGATACATGGATTAGTTTATAAATATCAAAGATTATTTACATGCGTCTTTCTAACATTATTCTAATTCCTCACATGTTAGGCTGTCGAAGCTCAGATTTCTTTAACTTACCAGGAGTAATGATGTATTTCAGTTAATCGCTAATCATTTAAGATAAATGTCAAGAACCCTTAAAGAGAAGAATTAGGTGGAACAAAGCTCATCCATATGAAAAGAGGAAAGAGGATATTAGAAATCATTTATAAATAAACTTTATCCGTCCTGGTAAGACTCTTCGGTTAATTGTACATATTTCTCCTGATCTGAAAGAGCAACTGTTGACTTTGTCTTCATGAGGGAATTATGGAAATCATCAGCTCATACATCAGGAGCTTCAATCAGAGGGGGATAGATATCCGTCATTTTCATACATTATCCCTTTGGGTCTGATGCATAAGTAGGAATGTACCTTAGAAAGTTTTGACAAATCTTGTTGCTTCCTAGCATTTCTTTAATGGAGCCATAATAGCATCCTTGGTTAAGGTAGCTAAATCTGATCCTGAAGAGCCATCTGTCTCTTTTGTACTTTCTTCGAAGTCATTTCCATTTAAATTATTATGAGTTTCTCCTAAATTGTGACTGACAATTTCCTTCCTCGAGTACTAGTCTGATAGTGAAATTTAAATCCTCTTCTCGAAACTTCTCCTGATAGCCTGGTCGATCTCCCAAGGCAGGTTTGTGGCTCTTAGCATGAGCACGTTCTTGTTGTCTAGGCCAACTAATTGCATCTGAACGAGGATCGCGATTTTGACTCTTCTCATAGTTTCATATTCTCCTTCGCCTCTGGCTCCGTAGATGGAGTCGATCTCATTGATAGAGATGGCGGATGAACTTTTGTCTCTAGCCATCTCAAACAAGTTCTTGACTTGTTTTTCGATGGCACCTAAGAACCTGGGCAACAAGTCAGAGGGCTTCACAGAGAAGAAGGTGTTTTAAGCTTTGGTCGCACAGGCTTTGGCAATGAAGCTCTTACCTGTACTTAGAGGCCGTAGAGAAGGATGTCTGTCTAGGGTTTTCTCTCCTTTAAACAACTGTTTTATACACAATAGGAAGAATCACAGCTTCCTTAAGGAAACTCTTCGCTTCTTCAAGCCCTGCTAAACCCCTTCTCTTCACACCCTCCCTCTACCCACTTATCTTCCTTGTCTTCTTCCTTCCTAGAGTCACCATGCTTCCTATTTCTCTTGGTTCCTCTTTCTCTCACAACCTTCTGCTCTTTCTTAAAAACCTTGAACTTGTTCATCTCTACTGCCTCAGTCTCTTAGCATATCATTATTGGTCTCAGACTTGTTCTTTATGGTTTATTTTGAACTCTTTTGATTTCAATTTTGTATCAATCATAAGGGGTTTTGGGGTTTTGGGGTTTTGGGG